TCCAGTTAGAAGAAGAAGTAAACTTTGAAATCCCTGCGCATGGTTCTCAACATCCTGCTTTAGGGTAGCTTCATAAAAAGTATCTAACTATGCTATGCTATGCTGTAAGAGAAAAGCAATTTTATTGCCTAGGTTCACACTTCCACAGAGACAGGTAGGCCGATTGAACACCTTTTTGTGTGTGAAGATTAAAAGAGATATTATATATAATCTCTCCTTTAAAGACCTGACAGGTAAAATAAATATCCCTGAGAAGTGGGAGATTTTTTTCCCCCTCTCATTTGACAAATGCCATATGGTCTACTTAAAATTTTTTGATACTGTTCCTTGAGGGAAAAGTTACTCCGTGTAATCTGAGTTTCTGTTTGAAGATAAAGAATAATCACATTGAGAATGGCTTCCAAGTAGTTTCTCAAGTTTAAGTAGCCTCCTTGTGCCTGCAGTGGGGAGTTACATTCCAATGCAATGTGTAACTGGGTATTTTTCATGTTGTGTAAAAGCGTTCCATTGTATCTTTAATTTCTACATTATTGATATTAATGGTATGACTACGTTTTAGACACGGCCACCATGTCAAATGCACTTTCCACGAAGTGTCCGGTATTTTCACAAGCACAGTGAGCATCTATTATGCTCTTGCCTCAGAATAATAAGACACAGGACTTATTGTCTAGGCAGAAAGTTCTGGAACACAACATAAACACAGAGAATAAATAAAGGCAGGGGAAGAGAAGTCCTTCTACCTAACCACAGATTCAAGCATTCAAGAAAAGACCTGCACAATGAACAGTTCTGTGAATTATGAATGAAGCTTACCATATAACTTCTTGCTTCTTCCGTCTACAACAGATTTTTTTTTTTCCTCCTCTGGGCAACTGGGTTCATGATTAATCCTTTGCATCTCTTGGCCTTTTTGGATAGAAGAGAGTATTTTGAACCAGTAGTCTACCGTCATTTCTTTTTCCTGTAGTTAGAAAAACAAATTTACAATGTCTTAAAGTAATACATGATGCTGCAAGTTAGAAAAATGCAAGAAAAAAAGTGAAAATTATTTGTAACCTAGTATGCAGAGATCATTTCTATTAACACTTGAAAAGATTTGTCTAGCCTTTTTCATATACATATACTATGTATGTACTATGTATTACTATGTACATAACTACTTATGTACTATGTATGCATTATTACTTAATAAGTAATAATACTACTTATTATGTACTATGTAATACATAGTACACAATAAGGTTAACAGGGTTATCCTACACTCGTGTTTTTCATATTGCTTTTAAAAATAATTTAATAATATTTGCACATTTTCCTGTGCTGTTGAAAAAGGGAAAATGAGTACAACAACTTTGGAAAAAGATCTGGCAGTTATTTATTAAACTACACATGCACATACCCTATGACTCAACAATTCCATCCTATGTATAAAGTCCAAGAGGAAATAAAACATTTATTCACAAAATACTTGTACAAGAATGTTATGTCAGCTTTATTTGTTACAGTAAAAAATTGGAAGTAGCTCAAATATCCATCAACAGGTGAATGGATGAACAAATTGGTATATTCATACAATGGAATACTACTCAGCCACAACAACTCATGTCATTGCATAGGTTTGGTGCAAAAGTAGTTTTTGCCATTACTTTTAATATCCCAAACCATTGACAGATACAAAAGCATGAATAAATCGCCAAGGCATGGTGCTGGGTGAAAGAAACCAGAATAAAAAAAAAATACATGTTGTATAATTCCATTTATATGAAGTTCTAAACCAGAAAAATGGTTTCCTCTCAAGGTTGGGATAGGGTAAAGGCAACATTGACTAGAAAAGCATGCAAAAGAATTTTTCAGTGTTACAATATTCTATATTTTAATAAAAACTTGTGGCCGGGCGCGGTGGCTCAAGCCTGTAATCCCAGCACTTTGGGAGGCCGAGACGGGCGGATCACGAGGTCAGGAGATCGAGACCATCCTGGCTAACACGGTGAAACCCCGTCTCTACTAAAAAATACAAAAAAACTAGCCGGGCGAGATGGCGGGCGCCTGTAGTCCCAGCTACTCGGGAGGCTGAGGCAGGAGAATGGCGTAAACCCGGGAGGCGGAGCTTGCAGTGAGCTGAGATACGGCCACTGCACTCCAGCCTGGGCGACAGAGCGAGACTCCGTCTCAAAAAAAAAAAAAAAAAAAAAAACCTTGTGTGACACAGGTGCGTACATATATCAGAATTCATGAAATGGTACATGTAAGACTTATGCATTTGACTGTATAAAAAGTTTTACCTAAAAAAGAGGAAACAGATAACACATTTTAAGCCTCTGTTTCCTTATCAGTGAGACAAATAAAAAGTGTCATATTTGTAAAGCATAATGCCTTTATATACCATTGTTCCATAAATGACAATAATCCTTCAAAGCCTGGACATTTCTTCAAAACAAAGGTTCAGTATATCTAGTATGTAAAAAACTCACTGAGAGAAACCACTGAACTTTAATAGGGAAATGAGAAAAATAAATAAATGTAAAATTCTAAGAAGAAATGTACATAGCCAGAAACCATGAAATCATGTTCAAACTCATTATTAAAAAATTAAGCATCTACTAGGTTTAATGCATCATTTAAATTAATACATTTGATTAATAAACTTATAAACTATATTTACACTCACTGGTAATCCAAAAATGAAAGTTAAATGAAAAAACTTACATTTTTGCCTAATAAAATAAAGGTTTTAAAAGTATAGTAATGCTGGAGAAAGTGTGATCGGATAAGCATTCCCAAATATACTCCGTGGGATATAATTTGTCACTACTTTTTGGGAAGTGTTTTTGCCATATGGATTAAGAGTTTAAAAAAAGGATATACCCTTTGAATTTGTAATTCCATTCTGGGATCTTTTCTAGGAAACGGTCAAAAGGTGTACAAAAATGCAAGTATAAAAATATCCAATCTAGCATCATTTATAATTGCAGAAAACTAAAAACCACCTGAAAATTCAATGTAAAAAGCTGACAAAATAATTTACGTGAGTTATCGGGAGTGCATCCACATATTGGAGGAGCAGGGACTTGTCCATTTTCTTTCCTAGGATCCCTGATTTTCATCATGTTACCGCTCAGGATAAGTGAGGGGTGCAAAGAGGGGAGAACGTTTCTGTTTCTTGTGCTACCATGGAGAAGAGTAGGGAAACAATTAGGACCAGAGTTACTCATTTTCTTCTAAGCATGTATGCATTTCTGAGGGATAGGAATTCCTCACAAAGAAAAAAGACTATGGTTGGGCAAGCATGTTTTTATGTGCCTCCTTTCTCAAGATTTTTCTCCCTCTTTTCCTTGATCGTTCCTCTTGTCTCTCTCTCTCTCCCATCTTTCTCCTTTACCAAGATCTCTGGGCACTGAATGAATCCTGGACATAGGAGAAGAGTCTGGGCTGTGTCCACATGAGGATAGTAGATGGGTTATTGCAAACGCTGTCAGGACCTCTTCTCTGTGTGCCTGCACCTCCCTGCACACCCGTCCTATCATCCCACTTACCACTCTATATTGCTCTACCTGTTTATTTGCCTGCTTTTTTCATTAACTCCTGGAGGACAAGAATGATGCTTTATTCATCCTGGTGACCCCAGAGTCAGCGTCCAATATATTAAATGGAGAGAGTGTATAAAATAATTGGTCAAGCATTCTGTGTTCAGATAGCCTGGGATTTAATCCTAGCTTTGCCATTTCTTAGCTGTCTGACCTTGGGTATCACATTTCTCTGTACTTCACTTTCCTTATCTTTAAAGTGGGATTAATAAAAGCCACCAAATATATGGAGTTACAGTGACTATTACACGGGTTACAGTAAAACTCTTAGAACAATGCCTAGAAGATAAGTAAGTCCTCAATAAATGTTGGCTATTAATATTCACATATTTATAGCAATTTTAATAGAAAATTACTCTGAGATCAAATTAACTATACCTGATAATGAGTTCTAATCGTTGGATATCAATAAGCTTGCCTTGGGTACACAGGAACCCATATTTATCTTTTCGGGTTCATGGTTCACTCCAATTGCTTGCTACGATGTCTGTCTGGTCAATAGTAGGTGCTCATTGAATGTTGAATGAATAGATACGTGTATGTCTAGATAGCCATACATAGATAAGAAACATAATAAGGAAGATAGAAAAGGAAGAAAATCTGTGACTGGCACAGCAAAACTAATCCTCCATGTTTGGTGTTTTAATGACTATGAAAGATCTCTCATTTGAAATTGGATGGGTACACATCTTTTAGATGGAGGTTATGCGGCTTAATATTATGACATATGCACATATCTTAATGAGAAGAGCTGAGGGAATGGAGTCTAATCTGGGCCTTACCATTTAGTGGCTCTGTGACCTGATATAAATTACCTAACTTCCCTGGTCCTCAGTTTTCTTCTTCATAGGTAGGGTTAAAAATTCCTACCTCTTGAAACATTTATGAGAGTTAAATATAATAAGGTATGTAGAGCCATTTCTACAACATTGCAGTTATTGGTTTTATTTCAGTTTATGTTGGTGGCGAGACTCCTGGAATTCATTTTTCTGTCCAGTAAACAGTAATGGAAGCTAGTGGATGTGAAGTTCTCACACAGAAGCAATGTGTAACTGACAACAGGGAGGTCATTCAAATCAGGTCACTTATTGAATATCAACATGGAAAGAAAATTTGTTACATATGGACTTAATGGAAACGACACCCTAATTTTATGTCATGTTGATCCAAGAAGCCTGCCTGAGATTCTCTGCATGACGTCTTCTATAGGAACATGTATTTTTATTGTATTTCATTAATACAATCAAAAGGGTTCCCTTGAGTTGACTTATAGTAGGCTGTGATATCAAATTATCTGAAGTTAATACACAGGATACAAGTGGATGTTTTATCTTTTGGCTAGGAGTCCAAGGCTACATTTTATTGAGAATATCAACAACTGGGTTGTTGCCTAGAATTGACTGGGTATTCGGAATGTCCAAGGTTGCAGAGAAGGGATCTCAGGATCAGATGCGCAGTTTTTGCATTCATCAAATATTTCTGTAAGTACAGTGTCCCAAGCTCCACGTGACTTGCAAAAGACAGTGCCAAAAATGAACAAAATACAGACAGATCTGGCCTGAAGGAATTCACGGTAGTGAGGAAGACGGATACAATTTTTGTATGTAGTTTTACACATATATACATACATCTCTGTTCCAGCAGAGATATGTGGAAAGTTCTGTGAGGACATGGAAATGCAAACAATTAATTCATCCTGGGAGCATCACAGAGGAGGTGAGATTTTTAGTGGCTTTGAAGGACAAGTAGGGGTTCACCACAGAAACCAGAGAGGGACGGTCATTCCTCGAAGAGAAAAGAGGACTGGTCAAAGTAGCATGGAGGAAACATCTGTCACATGGGTGGTCTGAGGTCCCAACTGTGGGGAGGAGCAGTGAGAGGTAGACGAGGTTACATTGTTAAAAGACTTGGACTGGTAATTTTTTTTAAAATTAAAAAAATCGCCTCTAACCTGACGTAAGTAATAAAGGTAATGCTTACTGCAAAATCTGAATTGCCTAAAGTGAAAGTTCGAGGCCTAGTTCTCTTCCTTTTTCCGGGCTCCAAATTCCACTGCCAGATAGAACAATGACTGATGATTTTTTTTTCAGGGATGCTTCCATATATTTTCTCCGTATATATAATACATATGAATGCATATATATGTGCATTCATACACACATTTTAAAAATAAAAACGCAATTATAGTATCAGTATTGTTTAATTACAACTTGCTTTTTTTTTACCATGTATAATTATATTTTAGACATCATTTCATATATTTCTATCTTATTTTGAATGGCTGTGTGGTATTCTATTATATTGCTAGACCATAATTTAGCTAAAATGATGTTTAAAGTTCTTCTCAACTTATTACTCTGAAAATTTTCACTGGCTCTCTTAGCTCTCAGGTAAAGATGATAGTACAATAATGTTGATTACCATTTAAAATGCACTTTTGGATTAAAACAATCATTTTAGGAGTGGGGGGAACCTGTTCTTCCAGGCATCATCTCCTGAGAAATATCGTGATATTTGGTATGCCAAGGAATTATCAGGACTTTTCTGTTAGTGGGGCTGTTGCAGAGGATGTAGCATTTTCAGCCAAATCTTGAAGCATCAGCAGAGGTTCATCAGGCAGGAAAGCTTAACTCTGTTCTGAAGAGAATGCTGCTGAACCAGATTCAGGCAGGACAGTGGCCATATTCTCATTTTAATCGGTCAATCAACAAACAAGTTTTGAATACCATCAGAGTGCACAGTAGGAAGCAGCACTGGGAACATGATTCTGGCCTTTGAATACCTTATACTCTGGTGGAGAAACAAGATTCACGAAGCAGTTAGTGAGATCTATTAAGCAGTAGGTAAATATTGTTGAATTATGCCCTACATAAACGTACCATAGGGACTGCTCAGAAGAATGATATGAGCCTGGGCTGGGATATTCGGGGCAGTGTCTCTGGGTAGCATGAGATGTGAGATGGACCTAGGAGGATGAGTAGGACTCCCATAAACAGGGTAGTCATGGGGGACTTTCCAGCCAAAACCAGTGTACAAAAAACCACGTGGTCCACTGATAGGACTATTCAACCTAGTTGTTTTGTTAAATAACCGGAAAGATCTAGATTTTGTGTCTGTGTTTTCAGACACAAAAGCATCCTATAGTTCTCTTTTACTCATGAGTCACAGATTCCTCCTCGCAAGTAAAGAAAATAATGATTACTTACTATTAATATCATGAAAATAAGTTGCAGGGCTCTGATATAGTTGATCTTTATGCCTCACCCTTCTTGTTTTCAGACATATCATCACCCTTATTTCTGGGGTTGCTGGAGGGCTTTGATTCACAACTGCTTCCCAGACCAGAGTAAGACATTATGCTTGACTTTCAGATGCTTTGACCATAATCAGAAACCAGCCCAAGATTAATTAAAGAACTGCCTCAACTGGATATGATGCTGACATAAATTCTTGTCCATTGGAAAACTGGTTCATATATCTTAACCTAACTTTACTCCAAGTTTTTTCCCAGTGTTGCTTTCCCAGGAGATACCGCAGTCCTCCATGGGATTTGCCTAAGTGTGTTATAGAGATCCTCCTTTCTACCAGGATTGTGGGAAACTGAGCAGGTTTTAAAATCTAAGTGAACAAAAGATGTGGGAGAAGGAAGATTGCCCTGGGAATTAGAAGACCTGATTTTTATCCTGGATCTGCCATTTAATTTGCTTTATAATCTTGGATGAGTTACTTCACTCATGTGAAGGGACTAATTTTGCAAAAGTAAGAAATATTGTTCATTTAGGTAGAATGATATATCTCGCTCTAAGGTTTTCTCAGGAAAACAAGGTTAAACTAATTCAGGTGTTCTTATCCTAGGGAATTATGGATGAACGTGAGGGAATTCTTAACCTTCTTCAATTTTGGCACATGTATGTATATTTCTGGGGCAAGACTCCACAGGTTTTGCGAGTTCAATCCACGAAGTGTTCATGGCTTACTAAAAGTTAATTGCCTCTGGATGACAGAAACTCTAAAACTTCTCAAGTCTGAAAATGTTATCATTCATTGATTTTCTATCTTTGTAGTAAGTCTTATAGAGGAAATATTACAGAAAGAAGAATTGGCACAAATCCCTTTAAATTATACTTTCTTCACTTTAATCTGAGGCTAACTCTGTATTATGGAGAAACACTTTTTATTACAGTAGAGAATTCTTAGAGGCCCAAAGTCCTGTAACTTTTATTGTATTTAACTTGGAGTTGTTTGTGTGCCTACAGTATTGTTCCCTGAATTAACACAGTTCACTCTAAATGACTTTGAAGATAAAACATAGGGCATTTGACCCAAAAGTGTTCCTCAGGGTCCTCTAAGCTCTAACCCTGGATTAAGAGGTTAGGTATTCCAAGGGAAAACATTTGCTTACTACTTTACCTTACTTCCCTGTAAAAATGTCTTTTCTAAGTTGTTATTTACTCTTACTTGCTTAGTGTTTACCCTTTCTAGTGGGCCACTATGAAGCCTGTACATTTAAACAAAGTTTCTGTGTCTTCCATAGGGGCAAAGTGAAGACATTGTCCAACATGTTACCTAAGGTCCCTTACAGTCAATAAGATTCACTTTTAATTTAATATCAGGGAAAAAGTGTTTTTGAAAGAGAAATTTGTATTCTTTCTATTAAAAATGACAATATGTACTTCATTTCCCCTTTGCTTCCTCTGCCAGGACTTTCAGAGCTAAAGTCCATGCTCAAATGTAATTTGCAAGAGCTTATTCATTATAAAAGCCTGGGCACATCTATGTTTTCCCATATTTACTCCAATATTACTTAATTTTTTTGATTATAAGAGAATACATTTTCACTGAAGAGGAAGTTTCAGAAAAAGTGAGAATCATGAGTTGTCTGATCATCAGGAATAATACTTAGTTACACTCCAGTCTTCCAGTGTTTCTTTTATGCATAGATATACTTTTCATAATGTTGGAATCAAGTTGTCCATACCTTTATACAAACCCCTGTTTCATTTAATAACGTCATGGAAATCTTATATTTATATTAATTTTTTAAGGGCATGAATTTTGATGATGGTTTGGTATTCTACCATAAAGATGTACCATTATTTTAAATAATGCTGAGGTTGATAGCTTTATACCTGAATGTTTGTTTTCACTCTTGACTATTTACTTAGTATAAATATCTAGAAGAGAAATTACTAAACTTATTTTAAAGACTTTATATACTGAGAATTTTCTTTCTATAAATGTTGCAACAATCTATACTCCACACTAACAGTGTTTAACAGGGGCTGTTCCTCATACCATTGTCAAACCTGAGCAGCATTTTTTTCTTCTAATCTAATTTACCTAGCAGAAAACAAGTACATATCATTGTTTGCGTTTATGTTTCTTTAGTTTTAATGTGGTTTAATAATGTAAAAGTTTATTAACCATTTTGGCAGTTTCTGTGTATGAATTGCCTATTCTTATCCTTTGCCCTTTTTTCTACTAAGGCATCTGACTTTTTTCATATTGTTTTGCAAAAGTTCTTTATATATAAAGAATAGTACATATTTGCCTTCTAGCTTGCATATATTTCTCCCATTTTTGGTTGCCTTTCCATTGCTATAAGCAGCATAGAGTACAGTGATCATAAATAAAGACACTAGAGACTCTCTGGGATCATAGAACAATAGCTGTGTATCCTTAGGTAGATTACTTAATATCTTTGTTCATGTCTTTCCTTATCTATAGTTCTATCTTCCCAATAAGTACTATACTTGGAATAATGCCTGGCGTATCATGTGCACTCAATTAATGTTAACCAGTTTTATTAATCAGAATTTTATTTTCAAATATCCTGTGTTATATTGTGCTAAAATTTTAATAGTTGTTATATTTTTAGGGAACGTTAGGGGTGGAAGAATTGAAAGAACCTAAAGAATACCTGCGTCAATGTCATTAGCACTTCATGACAGCTTTGTAAAGAACAAAGAATACTTCTATTGCAGGTTTGATTTACATCCAAAATAAATGTGGGTGCATAGAAAGTGAGGTAACAATATACTTGGAATGTGCTGGTCATCAAACACATAGGTTGTTGCACTTATTTAATTGTTCCATTTTAAACGACAGATCATGTTCCAATGACCTTTTTCTATGAGGATCTCAGGATGTCCCACAGGTCTTTAATTTAAGCCTCATCTTTTCCATCCAGGAACTAATCCAAGTGGGTCTCTCACTTAACGGGGAAGAAAATGAGGAGCTGCCAGTCAGCCATCAACCGTGAAAAAGCTCGGGATAATTTCACTTGAGATCGGAGACCCCACCAGCTGAAAATAAAACAAATTATTTCCAAATCTGGTTTTGAAATGAAGAGTGAAGAGCCTACAATTTGAAAATAATCACATCCACTGTATCTTCATCCTCCAGATGAGGACTCTCTTACATTTTAGTTAGTCAGTGTGTAATGTTTCTTTTATTTCTGTTCTCAAAGTCTTGACATCACTAAAAATAAATGACTCAATTCCACTTGTGCATAAGCAGCTGGAAAACTACCAACATGTTCCCAATGTCTAAACTGTGTAAACAGAGACACCAGAGGCAGAGTGGGGGGTGGGGAGGAAAGAAAAAAAAGGAAAAGAAAGTAAAGAAAGCAAAATAATTTTGAAAATAAAATTATGCAAAAGCAGCTTCCAGGGAAGAGAGTATGATGTTTATCCCGTTTCTTTGTTCCTGGTGGCACACGGCGGTCCATACACCCCTGGGTCCTGGAAGCAAACCAGGTGGAAAAAAGGATCAAGAAACTTTATAAACACCTTTCAAATCAACGTGCTCGGCCAATACACATTCCTTTGCTCATCATGGGAAAATGTTGGCAGCTGTCTCTAGTCAGATGCCCCAGGGTTTTGGGGGCCTCAATCTAGAACTTGAGGACTAATAGGGAAAATGGAAACAGAATCCTGGCTGGTCTGCAACCCCAAAATACAACCACAAACCCCCTCAATTTCCAAAGACTCATCTTTTGTGGTGGCTCTTAGCTCAGAATGCACAATTACAAAAATGAAATGTTGCAAATGTCCTATACACCCACAACATTCTTTCTTTTATTTACTGTCTCGGGTAGAAGAATATACTTTATCTCCTTGTGTCCTTATGCCAGGAAAGCAAAGCAGGTTTGGCCAGCAGAAAACTTGATCATCTTTATTCCTTCCTTCATGTTACCAGGAGATGAAGGAAAAGGTCACAGCAGCTGTGCAGCTCAGCTGATTCACCCTGGGTCGGGCTACATGTTATCTACACTTTTCAAGGGGAGAACCTTGCTTGCAATAAAAGTAGGTCATCAGGCAGTGAAAAGAGAATGTGACTTAGCCAAAGAAATGAGAAGGAAGGGGTGGGTCAAACCCAGGGCCTTGGTGCTTCTGACCAGAGAGGGCGAGATGAGCATTGCTGTGTGACCTCTCTCTCCATCTCTTGCTCTCCCAGTCTCCTTTTTGCTCTCATTTTAACTAATACATGAAGTGCCTGGAGAAGCCAAGGAATCTATGGAGGGACCCTGCAAGGACAGTGACAAAGAGCTTTCTTTTTTTCTCACACAAAGTCAGGCCAAAGGGGGGCGGTTTAAATTGCTTCCAGCAGGACTTAGGTTCAGCATGAAGAAAATATCTCTGAGCGAGATGAGCCTCTGGAATGCATTACTAAGGGAGATGATGGAATCCATTTCAGAGATCTCTGAGGACACGGTGGAATGCTAATCTTTCCTTAATGGCTAATATTTTGGTGTAGAGGAGGAGACGTGGATGAACTTTCAAGTTCCTTTCACTCCTGAGATTTGAACGTACACTGGCAGAAGAATGAAATATCAGTTGTCCTGTGACATCTGCAACATCCAAACCCTGCTTCTTCTCGGTCACCTGAGGCCCTTTGGGTACCTTCCCCCCACCCCCCTCCATTGCCCCCACATCCACCTCTGACACTGGTGATTAGGTTTAGTGATCTTGTGGGGTGAGTGGGTGGGCAGGTGGAGGTTACTGGATGGAGAAGAATCATATATATATATTAAAAAAAAAAAAAACCAAGAATAACAAGTACCAGATAGTGAGTTCAGGCCAAGATTTTTAGGAAGTGCTGAAATTTAAGTGGGGGAAATGACAATAATCTATGAAATATTCGAAGAGCTAGGAACTATGCCAGAAGTGGAAAACAGAGCCAAGGCCCCCAAGCTGGGTAGGAGGAAGATAAAAGCAGAGTATATGAGAGAACCAGATTTTTTACTTATGGGACTCTCGAGACTCACAGTGTCAAGACAGGTAAGTCAAAAGAGTTGTGAAGGGAGGCCAGGCACAGTGGCTCACACTTGTAATCCTAGTACTTTGGGAGGCTAAGGTGGGAAGATCACCTGAGGTCAGGAGTTTGAGACCAGCCTGGCTAACATGGTGAAACTCTATTTCTACTGAAAATACAAAAAAATAGCTGGGTGTGGTGGCGTGCCTATAATCCCAGCTACTTGGGAGGCTGAGGCAGGAGAATTGCTTGAACCCAGGAGGTGGAGTTTGCAGTGAACCGAGATTACACCATTGCACTCCAGCTTGGACAACAAGAACAAAATTCCATCTCAAAAATAAAAAATAATAAAAAAAAGAGTTGCAAAGGGAGTAAGTGAATGAATAAAAAAAATTCATAAGATTTGTTATTAATATAATTTAACATTCTAGAATTTATAAACGAATATGAGATTGACTTCAAGGGTGTCTTTTTATGAATTATATCACTCTTAGACCCATGTGCTTTCTCTAGTGAAAGCTAGTGGGTGGAGAATTGGGATAAACTTACATTTGCTCTTGAAGGTGTTTCATACAGGTGAATGGGGTCACATGTTTGAGAGTCATAGGGTGGTACTCATCTGCAGATGAATATGACTCTGAAGATCATCTTCTGGAGAGTAGACAATTGAATGAGTTGGTCAGGCCACTTGAAGGTCCATACCTTAGTGTTAAGACATCCTCATTGGTGCATCTTCATTGTGACAATATTTTCCTATGCAGAGGGTCAACACTTGCTTCCTTTACTTTTTTTCTCCAGAGCAACTTTATTACATAAGCATGCTCCTTTCTATTGACTCATTTGGTAGAAACAACCAATGTATTTATATGCCAGGACATGGGCTACAGATTTTACTTCCGTAGAGAGTCATCAAGACATTTCTTTCGGTTTGTGAGTTTTGAGCTAACAAGCAAAGGTAACCCTTTTTTTCATGCTTCACAGTGACATGCATTCCACGCTGTCTTTTATACCATGAACTAGGCTGTGGAATATAGAGTCAAAGATGCCTAAGACAAGGTTCTTGCCCTCAAAGCAATCCATTCAGGGATATCCATTAGTTTGCATCAGGCTTCTGTGTCATGGAACCCACACAGAGAGGAGGAAAGGGATGAAGCCACCAATGATGAGCGCCGTGACTCCTGGCATCACATTTTGTTTGACTAAGAACACTGATTAATGAGAGAATGTTATCAAGGAAGGTTAGCAGAAGTCATAGTCTTTGGAGAAGATTGCTTAACATACAATCAATTTGTTCTCCCTATAGGATAGAATGGTAAAACAGCTGAGTTACAACATTTTAACAGGAATACCTGAAACTCCTTTATTCTCTAAGATGAAGAACAAGGAGAATTAAACTAGTTAGAAACCACAGCAACCAAGGTGCTCCAATCCTCTAGACAAATATTTAACACTTCGGTTCTCCTCCTTGATGCCTCTCATCAGAATATTTTTAAAGCAAGAGGTCCTGAGATTTCTCTGCTCCCTGGGGGTGAGTGGAGTGATTTTTATTGTTGAATGTCAGGGATGATGCTAATCACCCAGATCTGGGAGTTGTTGGACTGGTGGGAATCGTCTAAATCTTGCCACTGACTTTTCTAGGAAGGAATTTTGGCCTTGATGATTTTGGCTGTAAAAAGTTGGTAAGATAACCTTCCCCTCCCTCCTCCCATTTTCATCTCCTCTGGGGCAGAGGAAAACCCCAGACACCAGCCTTCTGGTAACATAAGAAGGTTCCCATAAGAATGGACTATAAATTATAACAAGCACGGCTCTTCTCTTTCTCTTCCCCTTTGTTTCGCTCCCCGAGCAATATTGTAAGAGTCTACACAATCTCATAAGGGACTTGGCTGGCAATCAGTTGAAGATACTATTCCTTTGGCAGCAGTTCCAAGTAACTAGACTAATGTATTCCTTTTTGCTTAGTTTCTGCAAAATTGCATTATGGTTCTTTGCAACTAGGGACTGGAAGAAGAAACCAAAGCATAGAGAAAGCTGGGGCACAAACTGACAAAGCCACTCAACCAAGCAGTGTGATTGCACCAGCTTTAAGTCACAGGGCTGTACACGTGTAGCAGAATAGCTCTTTTTTGGGGGGTGTGGCTTCCTGAGGTCCAGAGTCTCTGGTTGACCAAGAAGCAGCTGGGGCTGTGATGAGTCTCTACGGAGGTAAAATCTCTGGCCTGAGTTCGTTTTCTTTGTGTGGCACGTCCTCCTTTAACTTTGTCTTTGATCTTGCTGAATCTGGCTGCATTTGAGACTGGATAATATGCTTTGCACAAATGTTTCTGGAAACAAAGACCACTGACTAGCTTGCCCAAGTAAACCAGAGAAACAATACTAATTGGGAAAGCCTTTTCCTGCTTATCTTGGAGCCATATGAAATGAACTTTCTTAACTCCAACACTAGCTACCTGTGTGACCTAGGGCAAATTGTTAGCTTCTCTGCCTTATTCTCCCTATTCCTCATTTTTAAGGGAATTGGGGAGGCAAATACTCTGTCTATTATTTTGTTTCTCACTTAGAATGAGCCTATGAAACAAAGCTTTAGTTTCTCTGGATTACATTATTGGTAGATGAAAACATTTTTTAACCCCATCTCCTGAAAAACAAAAAAGTACATACGGTATTATCAAACCCTAATTGGGGTTTCTAATAATTATCCTAAATTTGTTTTATATAAAGTGAAACAAATTCAAACCAAATACATTATCAGTATGAAATAAGTCAAATTTTAGCCTGGCCTAGCATAATAATTGCAATGAAATAGAACAGCCTGGATGAAATGGAGGCCATATCTACAGATGCTCTAAGAAAGTTCAGTCTCACACAAAGAAAACAAGGTCCAAAGAATATGCAGGTCCAATTCTCACTTTTTAAAAAAATTTTTTTTTAATTTTTAATTTTTGTGGGAACATAGTAGGTATATATATATTTTGGGGGTACATGAGATGTTCTGATTCAAGCATGCAATGTATAATAATCACATCATGGAAGATGGGGTATCTATTTCAGCAAGCATTTATCCTTTGTTTTACAAACGTCATGGTCTTTTTTAAAGCTTCCCTGCCTGTCCCATGTACTAGATGGCTCACAAGAGGACATCTTTCACTTAGGTCTACAGTTTTAGTTCTCACCACTTACTCTCAATTATTCATTGATTTGTGCTCTGTTTTGCTGTGGATCCATCCTGTTACTAACCTCAGTGTTTA